CCGAAATGAGCTTTCTCTGCAGGGCGGCCGGGCGCACCCTTAGAGATAGGGTGAGGAGCTCGGTCACCCGGGAGGAGCTCAGAGTAGAACCGCTGCTCCTCCACATTGAGAGGAGCCAGCTGAGGTGGCTCGAGCATCTGTTTCGGATGCCTCCTGGGCGCCTTCCTAGGGAGGTGTTCCGGGCATGTCCCACCGGGAGGAGGCCCCAGGGAAGACCTAGGACACGCTGGAGGGACTATGTCTCTCGGCTGGCCTGGGAACGCCTCAGCATTCCCCTGGAGGAAGTGTCTGGAAAGAGGGAAGTCTGGGCATCTTTGCTTAGACTGCTGCCCTCGCGACCCGGTTCCGGATAAGCGGAGGAAAATGGATGGATGACATGCTCACTTCTTATCCTTACTGACTGATTCATCTCATGTTTTGTGTTTTGCTTGTGTCCTTGTCACTACTTGTAGCATGAGGCAGTACCTGCAGGCCTATCAGTTATACTGTCCAGGAGCTCACCGATGCCCTGATCCAGGACTGGGAGGAGATCCCCCAGGACACCATATGCCGATTCATCAGGAGCATCATCAGATGTTGTCAGGGGTGCACATAGGCACTTCTGAGTCACATTATGAGTTGCTGTAATGAAATTCACTCAGTTTCACTTTGATTTAGAATCCAGCCTTCATGGGGTGATGACTTTGGTTTCCACTGACCACTGATATTCAATTTGAACAAATTATACAGTATACATTAGTAAAGGATAGAAAATGGATGGATGTACGGACATTAGTAAAGATTTTCAACTTGAATAATTTATTCATCAAGATCCGATGTGTGATTTAGTATTCCCCTAAATTCTTTGAGCAGTTATATACAACCCTACCTACAATATTTTCTGTCCCATATTGATCTTGGCTGCACCACAAGTAAATTTTACATGGTGGATTTTGGTGTTATTGTACCATAAAATTTGCCAGAGTCTAAATGAGCTGCTAAACCTGCGTGTATTACTTAAGTTGATTACGTTTTGACACAGCTTCACTATACCAACTAGTAATAACAGTCACTCTGTGCTCCAGTTGTGTGTGTGTGCTGACACAAACAGCTACTCATCATCCTCAAAAAGCACTTCATCAATGACCACATCATTGTCATCAACAGGGATTTCCTGGTACAGCTGCTCTTTGAAGGCCAAGGCAATAGTGTAGGGCTTTCCTTTGGGGTGTCTGCTGCAGCGCTCCAAGTAGGTGTCATAGAAGCCCTTCCCTCGTCCCAGACGCTTCCCCAAACAGTCAAATCCCAGGCCTGGCACCAAGATTAGGTCCAGACCTCCTGGATAATGACAGATTATATAATCAGTGATAAAGTTCTGGAAGAAGCCTGCCTTTGCCTGTTAAAACTGACAACTTTTAGCCATAGTTTGTCTAAGAACTCATCCTCACGACCACAGTTTTCACTCCTTTTACATAAGTTTTTCACTGAATTGTAGACACATCTGTGCTCTTCCTGATAGTAGAACTGAGGAAGCAAATGGATTCACAGAAGATGCACAGTGAGTCAGTCAATGGAGCTCAGTTTACATCCTCTGACTTCTCTTCTTTTCTGAAAGAGCAAAAGATTGATCACCACAACTCATCAGTTTACTATCTTGCCGACAATGAGCTGTGGAATACAGAGTACTTTAAAACACTATTCAACTGGCTGTTACTCAGCAAAAGCCTTGGAAGTCAACAGCCACACACTTTCTTCAAACAAAGCTGACTGCGTTGCCAATCCATCATACCATCCATCCAAGTGATGCTGCCCTTCGTGAAACTGTTCAAAGCAGACAACAGAAAATGAAGGCATACACAGATGCCAAGAGAGGCACAAGCAAGCCCTGTTTCAAAGAAGGTGACAAAGTACGGACCAGAAAACCACACCATATACCCGAGGGCCAAAGACAATTCGCATTTATGTTGAGTGTTGTTGTACTTCACTGCTCTGCTACTAGGGACACTGTTGCTGCTAATGCATATCCTGTGGGGTTTGTGAGTAGTTATTACACGGCCTTCGTATGAAGTTGGCCAGTGTAGATACAGTGGGTACGAAAAGTATTCAGACCCCCTTAAATTTTTCACTCTTTGTTATATTGCAGCCATATGCTAAAATCATTTAAGTTCATTTTTTTCCTCATTAATGTACACACAGCACCCCATATTGACAGAAAAACACAGAATTTTTGACATTTTTGCAGATTTATTAAAAAAGAAAAACTGAAATATCACATGGTCATAAGTATTCAGACCCTTTGCTCAGTATTTAGTAGAAGCACCCTTTTGAGCTAATACAGCCATGAGTCTTTTTGGGAATGATGCAACAAGTTCACACCTGCATTTGGGGATCCTCTGCCATTCCTCCTTGCAGATCCTCTCCAGTGCTGTCAGGTTGGATGGTAAACGTTGGTGGACAGCCATTTTCAGGTCTCTCCAGAGATGCTCAATTGGGTTTAAGTCAGGGCTCTGGCGGGACCATTCAAGAACAGTCACAGAGTTGTTGTGAAGCCACTCCTTCGTTATTTTAGCTGCGTGCTTAGGGTCATTGTCTTGTTGGAAGGTGAACCTTCAGCCCAGTCTGAGGTCCTGAGCACTCTGGAGAAGGTTTTCAAAAAACACCCCCATAGCATGATGCTGCCACCACCATGCTTCACTGTTGGGACTGTATTGGACAGGTGATGAGCAGTGCCTGGTTTTCTCCACACATACTGCTTAGAATTAAGGCCAAAAAGTTCTATCTTGGTCTCATCAGACCAGAGAATCTTATTTCTCACCATCTTGGAGTCCTTCAGGTGTTTTTGAGCAAACTCCATGCAGGCTTTCATGTGTCTTGCACTGAGGAGAGCCTTC